ACTTTAAGTGAAAGGCCTGGATCTTGAGGGCTTGAAGGAGCAAGTCTTAGTGCTGGAGGGTTTTGAAAGCCTGAGCTTCACTGCCGGGGCACTTTCCCTGGAGGTTAAGTGTATGCAGGCAGTAGGAAGGTAGGTTAGATCTTGGAGTGTCTCGAAACTGAGCCCAACTCCATCTCTTCCCCCATCTTGCTGTCCCTACTGCATCTCTGCCTGGCAGCAATCCAAGTCCTGGGCACTGTCAAATGGTTCAACGTCCGAAATGGTTACGGATTCATCAACAGGTATCTGAGGAACGTAGGGAGGGGGAGGAACGGGTGTCTCCCCGCTGGCCTGTGGGACTGGACACCCTCCCGAGCTCATCTCCACCCCTGCTTGCCGAAGCACATGGTTGCAATGTCCAGCTGGTGTTGGTTGAAAGTCTTTAATCATAACACAAACGTGGGCAGGAGGAAGCTCCTCTCCAAGGGCAGCGGAGGGTTAATGATCTAGGAAGTTGGCAAACCTGCTCCGACCTCCCAGCTTGTCTGTCTCACCTCCAGGTTTAGTTTGCCTCACCTCTGGGGCAGAATGTACCTGCTCCCTGTGCCCCGGGGCTCTGGGCCACACTCACTTTCCTGTTTCGGGTAGCACATAGCACTCGCGTAACTCATCTTCCTTACACAGTTGTTGGTTCATTTGAAACCCCCACCTGAGGGGACTGAGGCTGGTGGGGGCTGGGGAAGGAGCCGGCCCTGCCAGAGGCTGCTGCTTCTCTTTTTGGCAGCCTCACCCCTTCCCATGCCCTGGGAGAGGCCCTAGGGGCAGATTCTGAGCAAAGCCAGGTCCCCCCCTGTGGGCCCTTCCCCAGCCTGGGCACCCTGCCCAGCCCAGCCCTCTTGGGAGGCCCTAGTTCCCTCTTAGCAGGCTGACCTTTGTGCAGATCCAAGTGCTTTACAGCTAGAATAGCTGTTCCAGGGAAGGGCTCTTCTCTAATTCTGAAAACTGAGGACTCCTGGGAGGTTCGGAGGAAAACCCCTCCCCTCCCCGCATTGGGGTGCTGGGATAAACTGGGGAAATGGGCAAGTAGTAATAGAGAATGGCCGGATACTACCGTCTCTCTCACCCTTGGCCCCTGGGTGTGTTGAAAAGGGGCCTGACCTTGGGGTTCACCTCCTGGCTGGGGCTAAGAATGAAGTTTGGGGGCTCTAGAGCAAGTTCTTGACACACTGTCCCCATCTCAGACTGGTCCTGCACCTCTCCTGCCTGCACTTCTTGCTCCTTGGCTGTAGAAGGAAGGAGACAGGAGTGGAATTTTCCAACCATGATGGGGGTGGGGATGAGGGGGTGTTGACAGGGACAGTTATATCCAGCGCTACCAGGTTCTAAGCGGTAGAGGGTGGAGTGCTCAGCTCCTGCAAAGTGAGTTTCCTTTCCTCCTCCACCCTTTCTCCATGACGCCCAGGCTCTCCACCGAGGTGTAGGTAGACTTCTCTCCACACCTGCTCTGGGCCCCTGTCCACTCCGGTCAGCCACGGAGGCAGGAGCGGGTGGGCCGCGGATTTAGGAATGGGCAGCTAGGGAGCCCGGGGGAGGTGAGCACCCCCTAACGGCCCATCCTGTCCTGCAGGAACGACACCAAGGAGGACGTCTTTGTTCACCAGGTAAGGGCCAGGCTGGCTTTCTGAGGGAAGGAGCCGCCCTTCAGAAAGGGCGTTAATCCTTCGGCAGCTTTCGCCTCAGCACGTCCACCAGGAAACAGCTTCCCTCCCCATCTGCATCAGGTGCCCCAAGTAACTGCCATCAGCCCCACTGTGTCGGGTCTTCTGTCAGCAGTGTGTGTGCTGCCCTCTGAGCATGGCATGCTCAGCACCTACTGTGTGACCTGTGAACACAGGAATGAGTCACAGGCCACGTTCAGAGGGAAAGGACACAGGCTAGTGGTTCTCAAAGTGTGGTCCCTGCACCAGCAGCATCACCTGACATCCAAATTCTCAGGCCCCACCCCAGCCCTGCTGAATCAGACTTGGGGGAGAGGCGGCAATCTTTTAACGAGCGCGCCAGGTGCCTCTGATGCCCGCCACAGTTTGAGAACCACTGTGCTCTCAGTGGGACCGAGGTAAGAAGCACAATCCTTTTACCCACTTTGCCACTTAAGACTGTCTCTGCTTTTTGTTTTGATTCCCTTTTTTAAATCCCTGAGGGGTGAAGGAGGGATGGTGGTAACTGCACAATTGTTGTTGAGGCCCCTAGTTGATGGCTTTTCCCCTACTAAACCCTGACTGCCTTCTTGCTCCACCCTCCAGCACCCCCCCCCCCCCCCCCCGCCCACAGTAAGATGGTGAAAAGAGTAAGATGGGGTGGTGGGCCCAGCAGGGGTGAAACTAGTCCTCACCCTTCTCACGGCCTTCCCCCAACAGACAGCTATTAAAAGAAACAACCCCAGGAAGTTCCTGCGCAGCGTTGGAGACGGGGAGACTGTGGAGTTTGATGTCGTGGAAGGAGAGAAGGTTAGGGGGCTGTGGTGTGGGACACAGAGTGGGAGGGTGGCCAGAAGCCAGAGTGGCTGAAGAAAGTGGGAGAGGGATTTAGCTGGAAGAAGGGGAAGACAAGTGATCCCAGCCAGTGGGAATGTTGTGCATTTGTTGTTGGAGCAAGTTCTTCCCCCTCTTTTCCAGGGTGCAGAAGCTGCCAATGTCACCGGGCCTGGGGGGGTGCCGGTGAAGGGTAGCCGCTATGCCCCCAATCGACGTAGGTTCCGCCGATTTATCCCCCGGCCTCGCCCGGCCGCCCCCCCGCCCATGGTGGCTGAGGCTCCGTCAGGTGGGACCGAGCCGTGCATCGAAGGGGAACGAGCCGAAGACCCTGGGCAGAGGCCCAGACGGCGGCGCCCACCGCCCTTCTTCTACCGACGGCGCTTTGTGCGAGGCCCGAGGCCCCCCAACCAGCAGCAGCCCATCGAGGTGAGGGAGCTCGGGCTGTGGAACCAGGGCCCCGGAGGACGGAACCGGGCTGGGGAGAGCTGTGGACACCGGCTCCCAGGCAGCTGCTGTGACCCCGCTCACCAGGCCTCTGTTCCCAGGGCACTGACGGGGTAGAACCTAAAGAGACAGCCCCACTGGAGGGGGACCAACAGCAGGGAGATGAGCGGGTTCCCCCACCCAGATTCCGGCCCAGATACCGAAGGTAAGGCTCACTTTCCGGGGTCCTGACCCTTCACTGTCCAGTATTGGGTGGGGGTGAGGGGTGGGGGTACAGGAAGGGTTGGAGGATGGGAAAGGGAAGAGCTAAGTGCTCAGACAAGCCTGAAGCTGGTGGTTTGGGGTGGGGGTGGGGTTGCCAGGGAGAGATTAATGCACAGGTGCCATGGGAAGCCACTCCTAGGGGTGGAGGTGGGGATGGGAAGCTGGCTGGTCTGCCTCTCCTGGGGAGCCCTGAGAGAGGAGGAGGAGTCTGCACAGGGCTCCTCCATGCCCTTTAGGGTCCCCACTTTCCTCCCCAGGCCTTTCCGCCCCAGGCCACCGCAGCAGCCTACCACTGAAGGTGGGGATGGCAAGACCAAACCCAGCCAAGGTCCCACTGATGGCTCTCGGCCTGAGCCCCAGCGCCCACGAAACCGCCCCTACTTCCAGCGGCGACGGCAGCAGCCCCCTGGACCCAGGCAGCCCACAGCCCAGGAGGTGAGGACCTCGGGCTATCTTTCTCCCCGCCCCCGCCCCACTCTGCTTTTTATCTTCCCCTTCTCATGTCACCCTGTCCTCCTGTTCCCCCATCTCCTGGCCCTGCCCCTACCCCACCCCACCCTTTCCTTCAGCCTGACATCAGTACTGCTGCGCCCACCCCTGGCCGAACCCCACCCACCGGGAAACCCCAGCAGAGGCAGCCCAGCCCGGCAGCCCCTGCAGACTCCTCTTTCAGCTCCGCTCAGAACCACAGCCCCAGCTGTGGATGCGAATTCCAGGAGGAGTGGGAAGGGGTTATAGGAGTGGGAAGAGAAAAGATGAGAGAAGATTGAAGTTGGGGGGCCCTAACGAACAAGGTCTCAACTGACACCCTTCTCTCTAGACCTCAGCCCCCATCAACAGTGGGGACCCCACCACCACCATCCTGGAGTGATTCCACCCAAGGACACCCAGAACTACCATCTGGTGAGAGGCTGCACTTCCAGGGCCAGGGTGGGAGCAAGAGGGCGGGGACTGGGCCTGAGAAGTTACTAGCCATGACTTGTCCGTTTCTTTTCCTCTCTCAGGTATCTGCCAGGTTTTCCAACTGACCTGCACCCTACCCAGCACCCCCTCCCCCCTTTCCCTATTCATGACATCAAAACACTGGCTTTCCCCCCTTTTCCACGAGACTCAGGAGGGCCAAAGCAACAGCTTTTTGCTTTTTTTTCCTCTCTCCCCTACCAAGGGTTGAAGGAAGGGATCCATCCTTTTTGTTCAGAGGCATCAGCTCCCTCCCCTAAATGAGGCTGAGAAGGAACCAGCCAGCTCTTACCTCCTCCTGGTTGTTTTTCTTTCCCACCCCAGTTTATTTTTGATCCCCTCTACCTCTACCTCTGAAGCCATTTTATGAACTGTCATGTGCCACCTGAGCCTCCAGTAAAAACAAAAACAGGCTTTCTGGTTGTCTTGGTCTCTGCCTCTTTTCTGCCCGGAGAATTGCTGGTAGCTAGCGGGTGAAGCGGGGAGGAGGTTGTGGGCAGTGGGCAAGGCCCGGTCATGAATCTCCCGTGGTTCTAGCTGTGGAGCTCTGAACAAGCACTTCCACACTGAGTCACTTTTCCCGTCTGTAAAATGGGAATAATGTTTCCCTTGCAGATTACGTGTTTTGTAAAGTGCCAAGAGCACAGTCTACGACTTATTAATTTGCTATTAATTAAAGCAATGACTAGAAATGTAAGTGGGGGCATGAGTGACAGCGTCCGGCGGATTCTTCAGCTGGAGCTGAGGGGCAGGACATGGGAAGCTGTGGTCCATCCCTGTCTGAGCCCATCCTTGAGTGCCTCCACGACAGGACACGTGTCTCACACAGTGACTTTATATACGTATCTATATATTTACATTTAGTACAACAGACTTTTGGTTTCTTCTCCCTACCCCTTCTTTTTCAAGCGTATACAAAAATATCTGAAGGTTCCTCCCAGCCTAAGGTTTACTGGCAGCCTTTCACAGCTCTTTCCCTTGGTTGGTCAAAAGCCTTTGGGTTCAACCCCCTTCCAGACGGGAGAGGAGCAGAGCCCTGCGTCAGAGGCAGCGCTTGCTATCCCTCCTCTCCCCTGTGGGCAGGTGGAGGACGAGGACTGAGCCTTCAGCGAGAGTGAGTTAGGCCTTGGGAGGCTGCATCCGTCGCCTTGGAGGGGTCAAGACCGAGCCCCCTTCACCCAGAGTCTATGTGACAAGAATTGAGAGAAAGTGCCAGAGAGGTGGAGGGTCCGAGGCGAAGGACACTGATTTTCCTTGGCCATTCCGCTCTGTACCTCAGTTCACTCCCCTAAAGTCAGTCCCGGAGCCTCTCCTCCAGCCCTCCTCTGGCAGAGGCGCAAACACACTCTGGAGCGGGTTGGGGTGAACTACGGAGGGAGGAGGAGAGGGATAGAGGGGAGAATGGCCCACCCTGATGGCCACAACCTAACCACAACACAAATAATCCAACAGTGTCACCCGAGGGAAATGAGGGTCTCAGACCGCCCCTCCCTCCAGCTCCCCAGTCCCACAGGCGCAGGGGCTTTCTCCCCGGGAGTGCTGGGGAGGAGCGGGTTAAAGTGCCACCGAGGAGAGGAGGGGGTGTCTGGGGACAGAGAACTGGCTCTCCCACCCTGCCTGGTCCCTCAGTCATGCTCATCTGGCCCTAAGTACTCCAGTTCCGTGCTGGGCTTCACCTCCTGCTCTAAGAGAGAGGGTGTCCGACGGAAGGCAGCTGAGATCTGGTCAAACGTCCGGCCCCGGGTTTCAGGCACTTTTAAGAAGGTGAAGATGAAGAAGCCGAGCAGGAGGGCCGCAAATAGAAGGAAGACGTAAGGACCCATAGCATCCTGGGACAGGCAGAGAAAGAGGTGTTGACAGCGGGGAGGGGAGGGGCAGGCTCAGGCAGGCTAGGAACTAAAGTCTCTCCTGGGGAGCAGGGACACTGCGGGTGGCAGGTGGCTCCTCTGCAGGGGAATGGAGTAGCCAGGAATGAGCATTTAGTGAAAACAGGATCCTCTGAACCCCAACTCTCAAGTTTGTCACCCCCTTACCATCCTGAGTTCCTGTACTCAGAGTGGACTCCCAGACATTCACAGTATTAATAATGACGTTTATCACTTTATTCCTGGTCTAAGTTATGCCACTAGTCTGCTCTGAAGACACCTCTATTGCTATGCAATCTAGTTCGGCTCCCTTCTCTGCTTTGATTCCTGCGGAGCAGGTGTCTCGGTCCACCAGAGCGATCTTCAGGACCAGCGGTCTGGGAGCTGAGGGAGTGCCTGACCGGAAACCAACGGGCTAGTCCACGCCCTCCCCCCTGGCCTATGGCTGTGGGAGATCGGCTGGGGGCAGGTCACCTACCGCAACATACTGGAAACACATGCCAATGAGGAAGTTGCACGTCCAGTTGGAGAAACCAGCCAGGGCCATGGCTGCCGGGCGAGGCCCCTGGCTGAAGAGCTCGGCCACAATGAACCAGGGGATGGGGCCGGGGCCAATCTCAAAGAACGCCACGAAGCCGAAGATGGCCACGATGGAGACGTAGCTCATGGCTGGAACGCGCTCCTGGGGACCAGGCAGGGGGTGGGAGTTCAGGTCAGGTCTCTCTGGATCTTCCTTTGCCCTCAACCCAGAAAACTAAAATCCACCCCACCCAGCAGCTCGTGGGGGAAGGGGCCTGCCACCCTAGGTTAAAGCAGCCCCTGGAGCATCTGTGAACACGGACATTCAGCTGGTTTCCCCACGCCAACTCAAGGCAGAGGGAATGTTGTGGACGCTCAGCCATTAAGCTGGTCAGTCCCCCTGGTTCTAAAGCAGATCCTTGGGAAGTTTTGTTCCCAGGCTGGACAGTGGCTCTCCCCACTGGCTGCCAGAATGGCGCTACAGCTTCCTCCAGAATGGGAGGAAGTGCAACCTGGGTCCCGAGGGAGCACAGGCCATGTCCCAGCACACAGCCGGCTCCAGGGCCAAAAGCACAACGAGGAGTGGCCCTGCCGGACACAGAGCCTGTGGGAGCCGTCCCCGTGGGTTTGGGCCCCTGACCCCCTTCCCACTCCCCAGGCCTCACCAGCAGCAGCAGAGCCACAGTCATCAAGATGGCGCAGCCACACATCCCCGCCAGGCCTAGAAGATGGAGGGTGCGGCGCCCGGCCCGCTCCACCAAGAGCACCTGCAAGGAGAGTCAGGGCTCGGTGGGGAGCCTTCAGGATGGGGAGTGGGAGGGAGTGGGGGGGAGTGGGGGGGACTGGGTGGATGGACACAACCAAGGGGCGGGGAGCCAGTGGTGGGGCCATTCCAGAGGCCAGCAGTTACCGAGATCAAGGTGAAGACGGTGTTGACCACACCAGCTCCTATGGTGGCATATGCTGGTTGCCCTACCCCCGCCGACTCGAAGATGCTGGTTGAATAATAGAAAACCTAGAAGCAGGGGAGGAAAAAGGGGATGGCAGGGATGTTCCTTCCTCCCTTGCAGCCCCTCCAAGCCGGACTGACCCTGAGCCTTAAGGGAGGGGGCTCGTTCCCTTCTCCCCTCCTCTCGGGCTGCTCCCTGCCCCGCCCTTCCCGGAGGCTGCGCATACATACGGCGTTGATGCCGGAGAGCTGCTGGCTCAGCTGCAGCACGATGGCAATGATCAGGGGCTGCCGGTGGGTCCGGCTGCCCAGGAGCTGCAGCAGGGACAGCGGCTGCTCGCGCTCCAGCTTCCGCTTCTCCTCCTTCAGCTCAGCCAGGGCCCCAGACACGTCGGCCCAGCCGGTCAGGCGCTTCAGACCTGGGGGGGGAGGGTCAGGGCTGAGAGGACAGGGAGAGGCTCGGGGCGGGAACGGGCACTAGCGAGACGGGGTGGAGGCTCACTCCGTTTGGCGGGCCCCTCCAGGTTGCGGATGATGTAGAGGTAGCGGGGGCTTTCCGGGCAGAAGGGCAGCAGGACCAGCTGCAGAAAGGCAGGCAGCACGGTGATGCCCAGGAGCAGTGGCCAGAGCGTGGCAGTGCCCAGCATGGACTCCAAGCCCAGCACCTGTGGGGGAAAGATGGCAGATCATTCAGCCTGTGCCCCCGAGCCCCTCCCCAAACCTCTCCCAACCCCCAAACGAGGTCAGGCCCGATCACCTGGGCGATCAGGATGCCAATGACGATCGCCAGTTGGTTGAGTGTCCCCAGGGCGCCCCGCAGGTGAGTGGGCGCGATCTCCCCCACGTACATGGGCACCAACCCTGATGTCAGCCCTGGGCAGAGTGAGGAAGAGAGGGCTGAGGCAGCTGGCTGCCCGCTCCTCCCCACCAAACCCAGGAGCAGTAAAGGAGAGCAGGGCACCGGGCAGGGCCGTGGTGGCCTGGGTACCTGAGTAGGCACCAATGAGGAACCGTCCGAGGATGAGCATCTCATAGGAGGAAGCGGCGTTGGCCAGGCCCATGAGCGCGCCCCCCAGCAATGCCAGGGCGTTGTTGACCAGCATTGCCCTCTTCCTGGCAGGCAGAGAGTGGGCTGTGAGAGTCAGGGTGCCTGCGCGACAGCCCCCTTCCTGTCCCCTACCCTCATCCTTCAGCCCCGTACCTTCCCAGCCACTGGGAGACGATGCCGAGGAGAAAGGAGGAGACCATGCCGCCCACAGAGAAGATGGCCACGGAGAGAGCCCAGAGGGTGGTGAGGGTGCCCGGAGGGATGGAGCCCGGCCCGTCAGGCCCCTGCCTCCCCAGCCACGTCTCATTGTAGCTCTGTTCAATCACCTGGGGAGACACAGAGGCGTGAGTTCCCGCAGGCCCTTCCCTCTCCGCTCGCCCCGCTGTCCCCTGCCTTCCCCGGGTGGGCACCCCGGTCTGCCGGCCGCAGGACCCTCACCTTCTGCGGGGCATTGATGACCCCAATGTTGTAGCCGAACTGCAAGGAGCCGAGCACCGCGGAGAACACGGCGAGGACCAGGGTCCCGGTGACGCGCTGCTGCGGAGGCTCCCCTTCCTGGGCAGGCAGAAGAGAGAGGACGCATGTCACACGGAAACATGGCTTCTTTCCTTCTTCCAGGGGCCTGGGCCCGCGCCCAGCCCCAGCCTTATGCTACTGGGTCCCGTCCAACATGCCGGGTGAGGGAAACTCGGCCATATTAGGACTTGCGGGCAGATCTCAGCATAAACAGCAGCAGAAAGAACCCCGCAGTAGCCGGGGCGTGGAGGAGGAGGAGACGCTGGATGTGTGCGTCCAGCCGGCAGAGACACGTCTGAGGACCGAGGTCTCCCAATCCCTCCGTGACCTTGGGACAGGCCTGGCCTGAGGAGGCCCAGGTTCAGCGTTGTGTGACCTTGGACAAGTCACTTCCCCACCCCGAACACGGCTCTTCTCTGAGTGAGGCGAGAAAGGGGGGATGTGGCTCGCTTTGCCTACCTGTCAACGGAAGTGTGGTAATCAAAAAGTTAACGGTACCCCGGCAGGGCTGGTTGTATACACTGAGGGTGCATGTCCATCCTCTGCCTCTGTCCTCTCCCCGCCCGCCCGCCCCCTTGGGGTTCTCTCGGCGGCTCCTGGGGGCCCCCCTCAGGCTCCAGAAGAGCGGTCCCAGGAAGGACATCGCGGTCATTCCTCCCGTGGCCCTCGTGGCGGCCTGTCTGCGCCCGGCCTCCCTCCCCCGCGGCCCCGGGAAGGCGGGGAGCCACGCTCGCTCCTGCGTGGGGCGCGGTGCCCTGGGAGGGGGCGGAAAGGTGGTGTGAGGGGCGGTGGCGGCCGCTCACTGGCGGCACAGACTGTCTCCGAGCCGAAACCTGAGCTTGGGGGTGCCCCTCCTCTCTGCCCCCCCGCCGCCCGGGGCCAAGGGAAAGTTCAGCGTCCTGGAGAGCCACCAGCAGTGGGGGCGGGGGCGCCGCGGGGCCTCAGCCCTCGAAACGCTTCCCCGGAGCCGGGGACGGGGCTCCTGGAACTCAGGACCCGCCTGGACCCGCCTCCTCGGGCCGGATCGAGGGCAGAGTGCCCCGGCTCTGGCGCAACCCACCGAGCCCTGGCGGAGGGAGGGGGCAGGTCCTGGGCCCGCTAGGTCCGGGCGTGGCCCGCGGCCCTGGGCAGCCCCCCAGACCCGCCAGCCTCCGGCCGGCGCTGGAATCCGACAGTCACGGGGTGCCATTCCCGGGTATAAATAGCCGGGCTCCCCCGACACCCCCCCCGCCCCTGCGCGGGGACGCCCCTCGGCCGACCCCCGCGGCGACCCTGGCCCCAGGGAAGCGCGCCCCGCGCCCCGTCCCTCCCCTCCGGCCGAGCCCTACCTCGGAGCCGATCTGCTGGAAGCCCGACGGCATCTTGTCTCAGGAGCCGGGTACCGGGAGGGAGGCGCCGGGGTGGGGGTGGGGGTCTTCGGCCCAGCCTGGCGGGCGGAGGGCGCGGGGCGGCGGGGGGTCCCGGGGTGAAGCGCGGAGGGGTGCCCGGCGGGACCCGCAGCCGCCAGCCAGGGAGCTCGAGAGCCGCGGGGCTCCGGGGATGTGGCCGAGCCGGGCTGCGGGGAAAAGACCCGGGAGCGCCCCCACCCCACCCGCCGGGGCCCCGCCCTCCGCGGCGCCCATTGGCCAGGGGCCCGCACACCCCGCAGGCCCCGCCCCCGCGCCGGGGGCCCGGGCGCCTGGCACCTGCCGGCCGGTCCGCCCGCCAGGCCGCGCCCGGAGCGTGCGGACCGGACACGCCCCCGGCCCCGCCAGGTTTGGGAGGCCCCGCCCCCCGCGTGGGGAGACTCCGCCCACCGGCCCAGGTTTGGGGTGGAAGCGGCTACTTGGGAGTCCGGAGCCGCTAGCTGGGGCCGCGGGTTCGAATGGAGGGCCCGGGCCCGGCACCCCCGCCCGGGGGGGGGGGGGGTGCGCTCGGGCGGCCTGGGAGCGGCGGGCCGCGCGAGGAGCCGGAGCAGCAATGGCCCAAAGTAACCCACGGCGATTATTTTTAGCTCCCACGTCGGGAGAAGCCAAATGTCAAGTCCCGGGTGTCCGGGCTTGTCCCGGGCTGGGCAGGGCCGGGAGATGGGCCTTAAAGGGTCCGCGGCTTGTTTTCCACGCGGGGGGGGGGTGGCCACGGAGGACGGGAAAGTCCGTTCCCAGCGTGGCGGGTGGTCCTCTGTCTATTCATACACCCTGCTGCCCTTTCCGGTCCCCCGTCCCCCGTCCCCCACGTGGGCTCCTGGAGGCAGCCCGAGGGGCAGGCGGTCACAGCAGCCGCGCCGCGCCGAGGCCCCGGAGCCCCCGCGCCTGTGTGTGCTGGCCGCGTGGGCACCGTGGACGCTCTCTCTGGAGGCCGATCCTGGTGTGGATCCCCCCTAACTCCGGCCCCGCTCGGAGGACGCGGCCCGGAGGGGGCTCGTCCGTCAGGAGAGCGGGACGAAGGATGAAGACCGAGCGCACGCGGCGCCGGATCCCGGCTCGGAGCGCGGGGCAGCAGCGCCACCTGGAGGGCGAGCGGGGTTCGTCGTCCCTGCCACGCTGCCTTTGCAGGGCTTCTGCTCCGTCCTGCTCAGGAACTCCGGATCCGAATGTCCAGCTACTGCCTGGATGGAGTCCAAACCTGCTCCTTCCAACTTTCTGATCCAGCGAATGGTCTCAATAACAACCCTGTTATCAGAATATGGGAAGTCTCTAGACGGTTTGGCTCAGTGGATAGAGCATCGGCCTGCGAACTGAAGGGTCCTGGGTTCTATTCCTGGCAAGGGCACTTACCTCGGTTGCAGGCTCCTGGTCCTTGTGGGAGGCATGTGGGAGGCAACCAATCCATGTGTCTCACATCCGTGGTTCTCTCTCCCTCTCCCTCTCACTCTCTCTAAAGATCAATGGAAACAAATTATCCTTGGGTAGGGATTAAAAAAAAGTATCTTGGAAGTCATATTCAACTTCTCTCCTGCAGCTCCCTTCCAGTGGTTTGCTGACTACTGTACCCTTTACCCCTTTGCACACAATATGCCACAATTGCCTAATCCCCACAGCTTCCGACTACACAGTAACATTTAGTCTAGTTTGTCCAGTTACCAACATTAGTGTTTGGACCTCCAAAGCTCACAATCATCAGATTTTCTTCCCCTGTTCTGCAGCCAATTTGGTCCAGACCCCCATCACCCGGACTGGTATTCCTGCTTCTCCTTTTTCCCTTACACGGAGGGTAGAGTATCATACAAAAAAAGTTCAACCTCATCACCTGATCCCCAAAAGTCACTGGCCCTTTGTTTCCCCCACTGTCAAGTTCAAACCCCTTTTTAGAGTGAACAAAACCCCTGCCTCTCGCCTCCCGTCTCTTCCGCACTTTCCCTCTTCTCCACTCACTACCAGACTACTTCCTGTGCCCAGGACACACGGTGCTTTGTCATTCCCCGGAGTCTTTGTCATACTGACAAACCCGCAGTCTGGAATACCACAGGACTCCCATTCATCCTTCAGAGAGAGGCCACCCCTCTGAGACCTTCCTTGGCGTTCCTCCAGAAAGCCATGGATCCCCACGAGAGTATATTGTTATCATTTCTTCTCTGTGCTTTAACCTTGTTTACCTCTGTACCCCCAGCACCCAGCCTGGGGAATGAATGAGGGTCTGCTCCCAGCGGCCAACAGCACCTACTGAGGAGCCATCGCTGGAGAGAGCCATTTGGTAAAGGGCTTCACCTGTCTGACCAAAGGGGAGGAGATGAGGAACTTAGGACTGAATGTTAGGAAGAGCCCATCCTTTATGAGCAGAAAGGGGAAGAAGCAATAGATGGCGGCAGAGAAGACTGATCTGGAAGGTAAAGGAGAACCGGGGACGAGGTCAGGGAGAGGGGGAGGCAGAGGAAGGTGCCAGGAAGAAGGAAGGACAGGCAGGAGGCACAGGTGGGGACAGGTGCAGTCAGTACACGTGACGTGCAGGGCTGGGGCCGTTCCGGGGTCTGTCCTGCCACTCCAGCAACGGCACATGCCTGCACTCCTTCAGAGGCTTTGTTTCTGATGCTTCTCGGGGACAGTCTAGGGATTTAAATCCCAGGAAAAGCAGGATTAAGAAAAGCAAGTCGGATTTAGATATGAAAAATATGGAGAAATGATGGGGAAGTAGAAGGGGAGACGAAAGAAAGAAAGAAAGAAAGAAAGAAAGAAAGAAAGAAAGAAAGAAAGAAAGAAAGAAAGAAAGAAAGAAAGAAAGAAAGAGGGAGGGAGGGAGGGAGGGAGGGAGGGAGGGAGGGAAGGAAGGAAGGAAGGAAGGAAGGAAGGAAGGAAGGAAGGAAGGAAGGAAGGAAGGAAGGAAGGAAGGAAGGCCAGCCTCGGTTGGGGTGTGTACAGAAGGAACCAATCGCTGTTTCTCTCTCTCTCTCTCTCTCTCTCTCTCTCTCTCTCTCTCTCTCTCTCATCAATAAAAACATTCCTCAGTAAGGATTTACAAAAAAAGAAATGAGAGAATTGGGAAGGAGAAAGAAAGCATGGCATGGAAAATGGGGGAAAGATGTTGACTGACAGAAGATTGAAAATGAAGGAGAGCTCTCGCTGGTTTGGCTCAGTGGATAGAGCGTCAGCTGCCGGGCACAGGAAGTAGTTCCGGGTTGGATTCCAGTCAGCACACGTGGGGGTTGCAGGCTCAATCCCCAGTAGGGGGTGTGCCAGGAGAGAGCCAATCAGTGATTCTCTCTCATCGTTGGTGTTTCAAGCTCTCTCTCCTTTTCCCTTCCTCTCTCTGAAATCAACAAAAATTAAAAATAAAATGAAGGAGAGAGCCTGGCTGACCTGGCTCTTGTTGACCATCAACCTATGAACCAGGAGGTCATGGTTCCAGTTCTGATCAGGGCACATCCACAGTAGGGGGCATGCAGGAGACAGCCAATCAATCATGCTCTCATCATCTTTCTTTCCTTCTTTCTTTCTTTCCTTCCTTCTTTCTTTCTTTCTTTCTTTCTTTCTTTCTTTCTTTCTTTCTTTCTTTCTTTCTTTCTTTCTTTCTTTTTTCCTTTCTTTCTTTTTTCCTTTCTTTCTTTTTTCCTTTCTTTCTTTCTTTCTTTCTTTCTTTCTTTCTTTCTTTCTTTCTTTCTTTCAGTGTTTTTATTGATTTCAGAAAGAGGGAGAGTGAGACACAAACCTCAGTGATGAGAGGATTATTCATCAGTTGCCGCCTGCACACAGCCGGGGCCTGTGCCCTGACCTGGAATCAAACTGTGACCTCCTGGTTCATGGGTCGATGCTCAACCACTGAGCCACACTGGCCAAGGGCCAGGCCATCACTGGTGTTTGTATCTCTCTCCCTCTCCCTTCCTCTCTGTATATATATTTAAAAAAGAAAGAAAGAAAGAAAGAAAGAAAGAAAGAAAGAAAGAAAGAAAGAAAGAAAGAAAGAGCCGAAACCGGTTTTGCTCAATGGATAGAGCGTTGGCCTGCGGACTGAAATGTCACGGGTTCGATTCCAGTCAAGGGCATGTGCCTTGGTTGTGGGCACATCCCCAGTAGGGGGTGTGCAGAAGGCAGCTGATCGATGATTCTCTCTCATGGATGTTTCTAACTCTCTATCCCTCTCTCTTCCTCTCTATGAAAAAATAAATAAAATATATATTTTTTAAAAAGAAAAGAAAAGAAAGGAAGAAAGGAAATAAAGGAGAGAGACTTATGAAACAGTGGGAACTTTGAATTGGAGCTCATGCGCGCGCGCGTGTGTGTGTGTGTGTGTGTGTGTGTGTGTGTGTGTTGATTTATCGTAGTGATCCTTGGCACATGTGATTTCAGAACCAATTGCAGCCTTTCCTAAACTCTGCCCTATATCGTGGGGAGCTAAATCCTGCAGGCTTTTGTTTTCCAAGCTCCTGTGTTCCCTGCTTTCTGGCTGAGTCCAGCCCACGGCAGCAGGAGATTGGTGGGCTAGAGAAAGCCAGCATATTCCTTCTCACAACAGCCCCCTGCCTCCAGCTCCTCCCCTTATAGGTCCTCTTTGCTTCTCGCTTCAGGAGGGAAACCTTGGCTCCTGAGCTCCGGGAATGCTGTCATCTCCCTTTGTCCTTCACATTTGTCTGTGTATTAGGGCCTCAGAGGTGAAGAGCTGAATTAATAACAGTTTTTGGTACACTGTTTTCATTGATTTATGCTTTATTTTATATATATATATATATATATATATATATATATATATATATATATAATCTTTATTGATTTCAGAGAGGAAGGGAGAGGTAGAGAGAGATAGAATCATCAATGTTGAGAGAGAATCATCGATTGGCTGCCTCCTGCACACCCTTTACTGAAGATCGAGCTCACAGCCTGGGCATATGCCCTTGACCTGAATTGAACCTGGGACCCCTCAGTCTACAGGCCGACGCTCTATCCACTGAGCCAAACTGGCTAGGGCTATGCTTTATTTTTATGTTGAAAACTATTCTCTTTTAGTTACATATCCATTTCTTGTTCATTCTCCTTCCAAAGGCAACCATTATAATAACTTCAATGCTCTTCTTTTTTTTTTTTACTCGTGGTCCTGCAAGATACGAATTGTTTTGTGCGCAAACATTTTAAATTAACATAAACAGCATCTTGTTGTATCTTTCATTC